AAGAAAATAATTTATGGGTCAGATAATAGTCGAATTGACAGATATAAAGAAAATCGACAAACATAAAGGTCATAGCAAACTTGTATAACCAAATAAAAGTACAACAAGAAAGAAAAAAATATACCCAGAAACATACCCATTAAGGAATTTAGGGCCAAGAAAAGATGAGAGGTTGAACAAATCATTTCTGCATGCAAAGTTCAGGCTTGAGTTGATGGATTGCCAATACCTCAGCAGTGCATAAAATATTGATTCGACCCTCCCCCTTCAATACAATTCCTTTGACTCTGTAGATTATTTTAAAAGAGGAATCCTTTGGAGTGATGTATCCATAGTTGATCAAATGCTCCTGTATAGAACTAGTAATTGTTTTACATGCTCCTTTTAAAAGTCAAGCCATTGACTTTATTACATAAATTTTAGGTTTTTATACATTAATATGCATAAATATTAATGACAGTTCACTTGATATTGTTTTATTTGAATCTCACCATTGATGTTTAGGATTGAAATTCACCAGTCTCTTATTGGCATATGTGCATATTGTGCGTATTGCCTCGATATTGCCTTAATTTCCAAGCATTATAAGCAAAGATGGATAGTGGCTAGCAACGGAATCCATGATGCGCGTTTCATCTTATTTGAGACTCGTCGGCTGGATGTACCTACATCTAAGCGTTGATGTTCACTCTGGTACTCGAACCCAGTACCGTTCGCTTCAAACGCCATCGCGTTATCCACTTAGCTCAGTAGCTAACGGTACTGGGTTCGAGTCCCAGAGTAAATATCAACTTTGTGATGGAGGTACATCCAGCTGACGAGTCCCACGTTGCGATAGGTTCACCTCTTGCTCCTATCCTTGCTGACTTTTTTCTTGTGAAACTAGAAAACGGACCTCTCAAAGAGGTTCTCAATAAGGTTGACTTCTACTGTTGTTACGTTGATGACACTTTCATTATTGTCGATTAGATCATTAGAAAAGAAGAACTATTAGAACTATTTAACAACAAACATCCAGCAATTAAATTTACATGTGAGGAAGAAATCGATAATAAACTACATTTTCATGACATTTTGTCAAATAGAAAAGAAAATGGTTCTAACAGTAGAAGTTTGTATAGAAAAAGCTCTTCATCAAGCCAATACACCCATTTCTTAAGCTTTGTACCTCTTTATTATAAGAGAAGCTTTGTCAAATGTCTCTCAAATAGAGTTAATAAAATATGTTTAGTCGATGCAATTTATTAGGAATTAAAGCAAATTCATAATAGGTTGATTGAAATGGGTTATCCACAGGGTTTCTTGAAGAAATATTTGCGTGTAACAAATAAAAAAATAGCAACATCAACGGCCAGTAAGAAATCTCTTTTCTTGGAGCTACAATTCAATGGAGGTGTAGCTGGTGATGTACCACGTTTCAGACTGACTAGAACAATAAAGAAAACGTTTAATACAGCCAAACTCTGTCTATCGTACTCGACCCGATCTATGGTGATTCCCTAACTAAAGGATAAGTTACCTAATTATGCCACTTCTATATGTATCTATGAATTCAGTTGCTCCTGCGGAGAAAGCTATATTGGGCGCATTACCAGGCGACTGAACCAAAGAGTTAGTGAACACCTCCCTTCGTGGTTAGGAAAAGGTAACGTAAAGACAATACGTAGCTCGGTTCTATCACACCCAATCGATAGTGGTCATGTAGGGACAGAAACTAGTCATTTAAAGTTATTTATAGTATTCCTACTAGTTTTCTTTATGGTGTTCGATCTCGTTTCTTACACATAGCAGAAGCTATAGAAATTCGAGCTAACAATCCAAGTCTTTGTGTTCGGAAGAAATTTGTAACACCCTTATCTCTCCCTTGACCTTAATGAATGAATTTATTTATTATCAGAAGTGTTTTGTGGGGATTCTAGAAATTTCAATAGTTGAAATCATGAATCAATTGAAGCTAGACCACCATTGAATACCTGAAAGCACTGGACAGCCGTATCGTCCTAGTATGGGAATCCTAAGCATTGCGCATCCACGATCCCAACCCCGTGAGATTCGAACTCAGGACCTATGTAAGCCTTTTCATTGTTATCATTGACTCTTAAACTACCTTGATTGGTTTAATAATTTCATATATGCATATCAATACATTACTGTATATTAGAGTAAAGTCTGATAAGGATCTAATTGAAAACAATATTGTTCTCTTATGTCAATGTTATTCTAAATTTATTTTTAATATTCAGGACTGAAACTAATCAGTGTCTGTCTACATGTTTTCATTTCTCAGTGGATTGTTTAAAGCTGATAATTATCAATCAATAGTATGTGCGTTATTTGAAGTTGAAGATTTTCAATTGATTGATTACTAGTTAGTGATCGATCACGTTTCACTGTAGCCATTAGTCTGGGTAACTCGATATTGAGTGCACTATGTTGAAATGGGATGGTGTTTGGAGGTAGTCGATAGGAAATCCTGGACTTAATTTTCGTGCCATTTGGCACACATCAGAAAGATGTACCTTTGATCTTGAGGGAACTGATGCTCTTAGATGGATTCGATCCTATGTTACCCAGCTTCACAGTCAGAAACTATCCCGGCTGAGACTGATCTCCTGTGGGACTAAGATGTATTTACAAACTTGAAGATTACATCAGTTTCATGTCAGACATTACGAGTTATGAGGTGTCTAGACGTAACATTACCTCGTTGAAACAGATAAAAAATAAGTGTTATTGGTAGATCTATGAACGCAAAGTTATCGATTTTTTTAACTTTGGTTCTAGGTTTTGTATATTGTAGTATCTGTTATTATGTTAAGCCCATATACCTTATTCTAGCTTTCCGACAAGCCAATTTATTCATTCTACTTGAGTCACATTCTAACCTTGACAATTATTCGCTTATCAATCTTGATGGTTTTTGTATGAGCGCGTAGGTGTATGTACACTTCTTATCCAATTACTCATCACATATCTGTAACTTATTTTTCGCGTGCCTATAAATATTGATCAATGATTGGTCAAAAGGGGAGTTGGCTTACCCGTCATCTCCACCGCGTGTCATTTTCGCTTCGCTTTCTTCTCTTTGCATCGTTTCTCCGTTCGTTTGTTTGAATCAACGATCTAATTGACATCTAAACAAAAGACCCCACAATGTTAAATAATCGTTTTAATTTTCTAATGTAAACTAACATAATCATTTATCTAACAATGATAACTTCTGAAGTACTTATAGTTAGTAATTAGGTCTATGTTCATTAAGTTAATAATTAGTTTGCCTACTTCATAATTTAATCTAATCAGTTGAGTCGTTATGTGATATTGTAAGACAGTTCAGTAAATCGACAAATATCTGGAGGCTTATCCGATCTTTCACTCTCTCTCTCACTTTAAAATTCAATTATTGTTTAAATTGAGCAGTTCATTAATACAGATAATCAACAATGTAAGACATGATTTGGAAATAATGATATTATTATTATCATATGAAATCTCAATCGAAATACATTAGTATGGTAGGCTCTATGAACACTAATGAGATATTTTGATTCAGATTTGTGTAGTAAGAATAGAAGGTCTACGACCTTTGTTGTTTATTTTCTAGTACGCTTCTGTGAGTGCATAGTCTTCTCTTAAGTGAGTCATTTAAAGGTGAGGACACTGTTGCTTCGGGTAACATGTCCCAAGAATTGACGACTCGGTATAAAAACCTGTATGCCACGGGTATTTTTGTTCTTGGATTTTCTGCTCACCTGCTATGCCCTCTGAGATGTTCCGATCAAATGGGAAGAAAAAGAGAGGATATATTATATCCAAAACCACTTGTTTGGTATTCTATACGTTAAAATCAGGTCACTTCTTAATCTGAGATAGGACAGAACAAAGAGGTCTAGCTTTTAAAGCCACCTTTTTTTAATGATAAACGCTGGAGTTCTGGAATATCAAGGGTAGCTGCTCTCTGTACTTTTTCCAGGATATTCGAGTCACTTTTTAAACAAGGGGTTTTCAGCCTCAATACAGTTTTCAAGCTTAGTTCTCACTAAGGTTGTATATACTGTAATGAACACAATAGTAATCTTAAACCCATATTGTTCTAATTTTCTTAGCTCATCATCATAAGAGGAAATTTCCTATCATTATTTTTAATCATATACTGAGTGGATAGGGGGAGATTAATTGTAATTCATATCTTATCATCAATCTATATTTCCTTGAACATTGATCATTTTTGCAAGTACTTTGTTTTACCATATTATGGATTTATAAAATGTAATTAATCCGTTCAAAATATATCAAATCTCAACCAATCATAATGCTTGCCTGTCTATCCATCTATCAATAAACCTATACACATGTTAGAAGGGGTTGTGTATAGATTTTTTGAAATTTCACTGGTTGAAATCATAAGTCAATTGAAGCTAGACCACCATGGAAAACCTGAAAGCACTGGATGGCCTTTTCGTCCTACTATGGGATTCCTCAGCAGTGTGCATCCAATGCTTCCAGGTTTTCCATGGTAGTCTAGCTTCAATTGATATACATATATATAAAATCATATGTTTATCTATCTATTTTACTTTCTTATTACAATACACACATTAGGCATTAGAGTGTACATTTATTTCAAATGGATAATCTATTCAACATATTATAGAGTTAGTAGATTAACTCAATGACTCTTTTGTAAGAAATTACAATAACTTTTATTACTGGAATACACCATCATCATTAGTATATGATTATTGTATCTTGGTGTTTTCTTTTTGTTCCCACTAATATGGGGTATGTGTTATTATCTAATAATCAATAATGGAAGGTATCATTTTCTTCATCCATTCATGATATGATTTTGTTTTCTTGTTATTGAATCGAATATTCTTTTGTTAGTATTATATGTAATAGAATAACATGTGTTATATTGTAAAAATAAACGGAAGTAAGAAAGGAAACACTACGTGTGTGTGTATGTATGTATGTATGTATATGTACATATTTTGTGATATATATATATATATATATATATGTCATATGTGTGTACTTGTGTGCTTGTGTGCAACTGGGAAATTATGTAGGATACAAATGTAATTCAATCATTTGAAAGACACATATCCTTGCATATAAAAAGTAAACATGAATTAGAAGAACACAATATATAGATCTATATCATCTAAAAATTTTCATTGAATTATCAATTATTGATTGGGATTAGATGAAATTCATTCATTAGACATTCATTCATAAGTTCCTTCAGTAAAACAAACAAACAACAAAATGGAAAATGGAGAAGATGAAGATGAAGAAGATATTTCTGAAGGTTCATTTTATCAAACACAATTACAAACAGTACAATTAAGAAATAAATTAGTAAATCAACAATCAGGTAGTCGTGCACCAACATTGACTATAGATGTTGTACGTGTTCATAGACCATTAAAAGTAAGTTAAATGAATAATATTTACTGTATTGTGATGATTTTTATTTATCATATTAAACACACTATGATTTCATGTAAAACAGTCAGATGATGTATATTAGAAAGAACCTTGAAGGTCCCGGGTTCGAATCCCGCCGAGGCGTGATCGTGGATGCGCACTGCTGAGGAGTCCCACAATAGGACGAAATGGCCGTCCAGTGCTTTCAGATTTTCCATGATGGTCTAGCTTCAATTGATTCATGATTTCAACTATTGAAATCGTATTCTAGTTAAAAAAAAATTAGTTATATTTTCACTAATTACAAGTCTCAATCATTAATGAAATGCATTTATCGGGTTAATGATTACTTGATATTGTTATTTTGTTAGTTATATGGGAAGAATTTGTTTTGGAAGTAACGATAAGCTCTCAGTAACTTACCAGTCATCTATTGAATAATATGTATTCGTTTATCCTTATTTCTAATTAAATTCTACCTATGGATCAAGTTATTGATATAACTACTGGATTAATTGATATCATTATGGTTTTAGTCCCTTTCGAAATAATTCAATGATAAAGTTTTTGAATATGATAATTGATGGAGATGTGTATTGAAAACTAACAAATGCATAAGTTTCACTACATCATTATTCTGTAACCCTATGGATATTGTTGTGACTTTAAGTCTGGCTTGTTGTCACGTGACTAGTATTGTATGAAAAGTTAAAAAATCCAATAGGATGTGATCTCTTCAAAACTCATAAAATTTCAGTGGAAAGTTATGTCTGACGAAGTTCAGCTATCATTGATGAAACTGGATGATCATTGCACTATATCAACAACTGATTGAATTCTGAAATGTGTTCCACTGAATGAAAACATAGTGACCTAATGATCAGAAGCTCCATACAAGATCTAATAGTCCCTTCTTAGTTCAGATCATGAGTATGTATTGTGAACCAGTGCTGAACTAGAACGAAGCAGTTCTCAAGAGCCCCATAGTTTTCAATGATACTCTGAATAATATCAGTGCTTGACGATTGACACTTAACGAATAAACTACTCTCCGCAATATCCATTCAATAATATTGATTTAATGTGGCGTCACTTAATATTACTATTATTATCATTATAAGAAATCTATTCAGTATGCATCCTTGTCCACTAATTCGTACCTAATTCATATTATTCTGCGTGATTAAGCAATTTCTGATTTGTAAGTACATTATTCTCTCTCTCTCTGTCTTTCACCCCATGTTAGCCATATTTATTCTAATCATTGATCTCGCAACATCATTTAACTCATAAACCTATTCAAGTGAGCACTTCATATTAGTTACTCTCAACATTAAGGATTTATGCTATACTAGGACGAAACGGTCATCCAGTGGTTCCATGATGATATTAGCTTTAATGAACTCATGAATCCAATTATTAAGTGAACAATTTCAGTTGATTGTACATGGAAAAACCAATTTTTGATTCACATGTTATAATGTTAATTGACGTACTTTGCCTTAAGCACCCAAGTGGCCAAGTACGGCCAAGAGTGAGGAGAGTAAGCTCTCCCTCGAAAAATGCTCTCACATGATCACGTGTATACAGCCACTACCAGGGAAGTCCTACTCACTACCTTCTCTCGACATTACTGTTGTTTACTTAATTTAGAGGACGAGCAGTCAATGTCCGACGCTTTAAACGGGTTGATGGATATAGAGTATCCTTCTAGGGGAGTTGGAAAACCATGATTCCAAATTGCTGTGACTTTAAGTCCGACTAGTTATCACGTAATTTATTCGCCAATCGAAATACAACTTATTCACTCTTGTACTGTACTAAACCAATGAAGTCCGACCAGTATGAGCAGCCTAGCAGTCCTTATTGATCCTTTGTTCGCCTAGCCCGTTCAATCAAGTCCAGAACACCAATAACAGCTTCTACTGTGTAGAATCATTTATTTCAAACATACTGGGTTTATATACAAGTCAAACAGACTTCATCATACCATCAAATAGGAAACAAATATTATACAAGATCAAGTCAAAAAGTGACTGTGGGAGTGATTGTGTAAGACCATAATCAATAAACTGAACATAACTTAAGAACCGTAAATCATATCAGACTAATCTATAGGTCAGAATAAAGCTTATAATGAGAGGAATATAGATATATACAATCTAATTACTGAATAGTTATACCATAAGAATATTTAGAAAATATTAGTTCATCAATAGGTGTCGGAAGTTACTCGTAATTTAATCTTCGCTAGGATATAACAGATATATTTAGAGCTCTAGAGGAGGATCAACTATTTCCATACTAATCAGCTTAGTGTTATCTTTTCAAAACTATTCAATTTCATTTTAATAACTGTGTTCAAACAATTATATATATATATATATATATGATGTGTAAGCTAATAATACAATTACATAATACATATATTACTAGTTGGTAATAGAGTAAACGTGAACACAATTGGGGGACAATCGAACGTATTTGAATACAAAATTACAGAACATGTCAGTCAAATCTAAAAACATACATTAAATAATTCATTTGCTCAATGTCAATTAGTTGTCTCTGACTTCATTGTTCCTTCATTTTCACAACAATCATTCTTTGTTCTAGTTCTTTTTTTTTATCTTCTTAACCTTCTACCGTTAGATGTTTCATTTTCGGTTGATGATATTTACTACTTATATCTAACGACATCAGTAGCATAGACTACAGTTTCAGTAGTCGGTAATTAATCAAATGCGATAATGTATACAAATTGATTGTTTTCTATTTTATTACTTTCAATAAGAGACTTCGAAATAGGAAAAAACGGTTGTGAGGCAGATTTTTATTATTAAAAAATTAAATAATATGCTTTCATTTTCAATGGAGTTTTGTTATATGAGCGGAATGGTTTAGTCGTGAAGCTTTCATCATTCTTGATGGAGTTTTATTCTCTGAGCTGAATGGTTTGGTCGTGGAGTTTTCACGGTTCCTCTGAACGACATCATCAACACGGCTATAATTTTTATTTATTGAATTTTGGTTGTGTTGAATATTTATGTTAAAATTAAATATAAATTAATTAATATCAGATGGGTTTTGTGGATATTATAGTAATTTCAATGGTTAAGATCATGAGTCAGTTGAAGCTAGACCACCATTGAATACATTAAAGCACTGGACGGCCGTTTCGTCCTATTATGGGACGCCTCAGCAGTGCGCACCCACGAGATTCGAGTCCAGGACCTACTTCAAATTCAATCATTTCAGTAAACTACTTAGATAAACAAAAAAAATTCCATTAAAATTTACTAATATCTAATGAATTGTAATCATCTTATGACGAATTTGTGTAAAATTGAATTATATTTAATAAATATTTACTTACATCTGTTACCCGCAACGGAACATAGGCCACTAACCAGCATTTTCCAACTCACTCTTTCCTTGTCCTTCCTTTTCAGTTCTATCCAATTCTTGTTCATCATTCTCATGTCTGTCTGCATTTCTCAGCGTAATGTATTCCTTGGTCTTCCTCTTCTCCTCATTTGGCCTTGAGGATTCCAAGTGATGAGGGTTGCCTTATGACGCAGTTGGGTGCTTGCCTCAATGTGTGTCCAATCCACTTCTAGTGCTTGTTCCTCCACTGGAATCTGGTTTATTCACTCGCACAGCAGATTGTCGCTGTTAGTTTCTGGCTAACGGATCTGAATTTATTTGCGTAGACTAATGTTAATAAACACCTGTATCTTCTGGATGATGGATTTCGTAGTTCTCCAAGTTTCCACCCCATACAATAGAACTGTCTTGACATTTGTATTGAAAATTCTAACTTTGATGTTGGTTGCCAATTGTTTTGAGTTCCAGATGTTCTTCATTTGTAGATATTCTGTTTTCGCTTTTATTTAGTAAATAACACTACTTAATTATGCATCTAGACAACTGTATTAAAACGATTGTGTAATGTTTCCTTCAAGACTGACTAAACTATTATGTAATGTTAAATCAATTAAACGTTTAAGTTGTGATGAAACATTCAAATAACTGATATTGATTAAAATACCTTTAAAATGAGTACTTGAAACTTTAAACTGATAAGATATTTCAATGATGGAGATCATGAGTCAGTTGAAGCTAGACCGCCATGAAAAACCTGGAAGGTCCCGTGTTCGAATCCCGCAAGGCGGGGTCATGTATACACACTGTTGAGGCGTCTTACAATAGATCGAAACGGCCGTCCAGTGCTTCCAGGTTTTCTATGATTGTCTAGCTTTAACTGATTGCTGATAATTTGGCTGACATCTGATATTGCGATCTGGATCCAGATTAGTCTAACTGACGACCCTTAATTAAAAACGAAACTAGTGTCCTGGATTTCATTCCTAATCATACTCTATCTATTCTATATAAAATTAATTAATTGGTTTGCGTGAAGGGGAAGTAAGGTGTATGTAACTCAGCTATTTAATTATTTTCATTACATGAAGCATTCCATCTATTGATTTTGTAAACGATATACTTAAATCAAATTATTGATTGATCGATTTCTTAAGTATTGACAGTTTATTGCATTCCAATTGATTTATTGATCAGCAATATATAAAATAATATACAACTATACATTTTGCTTACATGCAAATCAATCTTAAATGCATAAATATTGATAAGTCTTGCAATTTGAACGCCATGCTCGTTTCCTAAGCTATTCTTGAAACCCCCAAGCTAGAACTATACAGCGACCTGAACACGAGAGAGAAGGCGCAAATATGCGAGAAGTACTTTACTTCAAGGTTTATTTTAATACAGAAAATATAGGGTTTTTATAATATTCTAAATGCCCTTGGGTTGCTCGAAGATTCTGGAATGCTACTAAACATAGTAGCAGTACAAAAACCAACCAATCAAAACCTCTACATGTGACGTTTCACATCCTTGATGTTTCTGGCTAAACTTCAAGTGAACGCTGATTGGATGAAATGCTTGCTAATGTTTCCTGATCCTTGCCTGTCTTTTGC